CTCCCCCCTGCCCCCAGCATATTGCTACAAGTTCAGGAGGGGTTAGTTTGTATTCCTCTTAATAAAGGTTATAAAAGCATAGTACTCTGTATAGCAAATTTAAAAGCAAATATAGGTGTATCAGTATTAAATAGCCACCAAGACTGTATTTGTAGTAAGGTTTACATTTTTTTGTTGTATTCAGCTTTAGCTGTTGCTTCCTTAGGCAAGCAGTGTCACAGTACCCTTTCTTTGAGTCAAATATGCACTGAAATGCAAAATGCGCTTGACATTACTATCTTTTCAGTGAGATGAGAGCAAGGGACTCCAGTGTAGCAAAACATTTATGTCTCATTGAAAACAGGTGAACATTCTGATTCACGTAAGTAGCACAGAGTTATATATGCTTCTGCATGAGGGCTCTGGGAATGGGTGTTGTCTTCATATAAACAATCTGCACAGGGACCCAGTGGGTGTTGCTCTGCTCAATGTTAATGCTTTGCTGTATTCTGTCTTTGTCTCTACTAATGTTATTTCTCCAGTGGCTTGTATTCTTGTGTAATGTCTGTACCTTTTACCTTCAGAACACCTCACTGAAGAACCATGTTAAGTAACAGTCAAAAAATAGCTATCAATCTGTGTAGGCATGGCAGGCACTGTAACGCCATGTTTGCATGCTATAGATACAAGATGAAGATAATGCTGAAAAGCTGGCAGCATGTTAAAGATGATTTGTTTATACAAGTTATGTTTGATATGTTAATGCAACCTCTTTTTCTAGTAAAGGCCAAACAATATTAAGTGGTTATCTGCATTGATTTTTCTATCTTCTGAAATAATTCATTGTAAATCATCTTTACTCTTTTTGAGTACCTGGAACTAGGACCGTCTTTTAACAGTCTCTTTCTGGGTGAACCTCAAGGACTTTGCTCATGTTGTTCTCCTGATCCGCTTCTTGACCTCTCTGTCAGTGTCCCCTTTTAGCAGGTTTTTGCAATTTTTTGAGATTTCCCTCAACAATCTCACCTGGATAGTTACTGAAAGGGGTCAGCAGCCACTGCAGGTTGAACCGGTGCCTCTCACAAACATCCTCGTTCTGCTGAATCATATTAGCTGTTGCTTGTTAGTAGCATAATGATCTAAATTAGAAGATGGGAGAGAAGAACAGGTGTACTTGCTGTCCATCTTTTCTTTCCTGTCTCATTCTCTTAGCCTTTTGGTATGTGCCCTGCTTTGCTTTTCATTTTGTGTCTTAGCTGCTAGTGATATGTGCTGTGCTGCATACAAGGGTATTTGTTTTGAAAGACTGAGTGCATTTAGAAAAGCATAGCCATGTGGTTATGGTTAAAGAGAAGATTTGAATGCCCATTGCTGAGAATGGATAACGTTGAGGTGAAAACTGTACAGCTGGGCACTGACGGTTGCTCAAGGAACAGTTGGCATAGGTTTAAAGAGGTTCACCTTGTGATTTGAGGGTTTGAAAAAAAGAGAGGAAACCTTTTTTCTGATTGGGTTTGGGGTTTTTTTATATCTTCTGTATTGCCTCTTCTGGCAGCAGAACTCTGAATGCACAAAGTAGACCATGTGATGAAGCTAATTCTTGGTGGATTGTGTCATCATAAAATGACATGTTACTATTTGTGAGGCTTTAATATCTTTTACTCAGCAAAGTAGTATTCTGATCAAGGCATATTCTCTGACATCCATCTATGTTGCTCTTATACTCCTTGATGTATACAAAGTATCTGAGGTAAAGAAGCAGTTGTCTCAATTAACAGCCTCTGTTAACTAACTAACTAACTGACCTCTTTCAGAACATTTTAAGTTCATAGGAACTTCCATTTAAGTGGACAGTTACACCTCAGATCAGATGTGTAGACAACCTATGTTGCACAAAATATTTTGTGTCTGAATATAAGAAGACTCTGAAGGTTTCCCAAGTATGAGTTTTCACAAGTTTGGAATAACAGGATTTAGACATTCTCATTTAGAATATTTAAAATTAAACACTTCCTTTAGCTTTTAGCTTTCTTAAAAGGATACAGCCAACGTTTCCTTTCTGCCAGTACTGAATTGGACGACGTCTTCTCTTCACTGTGCTCCAAAAAGCACTTTTATATATGTTTTTAGGAGGAAATCCAGTTTCTTACTTGTAGCTATTGGCATTTTAGAGTCCTGGAGTGAACCAATAAAAACACATGTTCTTTTAAAGAACATCTATTTTCACTGGACCTTTCTAACAACCAGTGACACAGAATTCAAAAAATGTTGGCTCAAATGCATACAAGGGATGCATTGTTTTAAATTCTATTTTTAAAACTTTTCTTTACAGCATTACACAGAAATTTCCTATGCTCTTTTTCTTATGAAAGAGTGCATGCTTTTAGAATGCTATTTTAATGTTTTAAAAGTAGTTCAGGTATCAAAGCGTTGTAGAGTCTAAAATTTCCTAGACAGCTAGGAATAAATACATTCTGATTGATAATTCAGAACATCGTCTGTTAATACATTATTTCCAACATGTTAAGACACTTATGTTTAGAGGTCAAGTTAGATCGCCATTTTTGTCAGTGATACCTTCAAAATGGATTCAAGTTGTATGCTGGCTGATTAAGCCTAGTTGTTGGTTTGGGTTGGGTTGGTTTTGGTTGGGTCAGGTTTGGTTTTGTTTTTTTTTCAGATATCAACATTCTTGTGGGAATGAAATTAAAGATTACTTACAAAATGGTACAAAAGTAATCATGTCAAGATTGACTTGATAGGAAGGTCCATCCCTTTTATGTTACTTGTGCTGCATCTTTATCATACATGCTCTATATATGCTGCATGATACCGAGTCCCACTGCTAGTCCTGTAGCTAGGTTTTGTTCTTAGCATATTTTCACTTCCTTCTTGGAGCCAAGAGAATAGCATGAATATAAATTAATATTTTAAAGGTAGATTGAGGTTTTTGCCTACTTAGTAATATTTACTGTAAGAAACCTGTGTTGTTATCAAGTTGGGAATTCCAAAGCACTGTTTTGAAGAGTGTTGGCAAAGCAGAAAAGTGGGAGGCCTGCTGATCTTACATGATGTAATCTGTAAAGTATCAAAATAATACCTGAAGTAACAATTTTTTTTTTTAATGGTGTTTAGATCATATATGCTGCAGGAAAAAAAACAAAAGCTGTTAGAAAAAAAAATTCATAATCTGGGTTTAGTTCTTCAACAGTTTTATTAGAACCTTCATGTCTGCAGACATAATTTGCATACTGGAAATGGAAAAAGAATTACAGCTGTCATTCTGTGATTTGTGATTTTTTGGTGTGTGTGAGTTAAACATAGACATTACATGTCTCAAGTCTGAAAAAATACTTGCAATCAAATGTATCTTAATATTTTTTCTGTGTTTTGCTATTTTAATGGAAAGTGTGGTTTTTTCTTGCAATAAAATTGAAACTCTGCATCAAGAAACTTTATAACAGGCTGAGAGAGTGTGCTAGGCCAGAGAGATTTGCTGCCTTTAATATAAGTAATCCTATTAGAAATGAGCCCAGACTTCTAACAGAAGTAATGAAATACAACAACAGTTATGTGAATTGAGTTTTTTTAATAGTGCTGTTGAACGCCTACACTTATTTAAAACTTATTCAAATATGGGATTGAATCATTCTGGTTTATATACAATGCTGTAAACCTGATATGCAGTACATGGCTGAGGACTTACTTTGTGTCTAAGAAGTATATGTGTTGGTATGTCTTTAAAGTTTCTGTCTTGAGATCCTGTAGTACTCCATATTTTACTTAGACCTCAGTTATAATTTTTGCAGTCCCACAGCTCTCTATTTTACAGTTTTCCATTTGGGGGGGGTTGTGGGGTGTTTGGTTTTTGGCTTTGCTTGACATGAACCATGCTTTGTTATCCCACCTACTGAATTGCTCAGTAATAGGTTGTATACACATGTATGGGAAGCTCGGTTCTGTGTTGTCCACTCACCAAAATAGCACAAGAGAGTTATGATTTCACAGCAATGCTTTTGAGACAGCAATGCTTACATGGGCATTGTACAATGGTTCTCATTCCTTTTTGCTAGTGTTTTCAGAAAGTATTTATTAAAATCCTTTTTATGAATTTATTTTCTTTTATTCTAACAGTCTATCAGCTTTGGATTTTTGGTGGTGATATCCGAACTACTTGCTTGTATTATACCATTGTAAAGAGTGTTCCTGCTAATATTCTGGTTATCCCTAGTTCTAACAGTTGTTCCTTTGCACCTTCCTGGTACTTTGTTTGGTTTGTGGGGGTTTTTTTCTCTTTTTTTTTTTTTTTTTTGTGAATAGTGGGGTTTTAATAAGGTAATGATCTGTCTGCTGACAACTAATTACTCTTTCAAACCAAGATAACTGGGCAAGACCGCTTACACTTGCCATAAAAAATGGTGAAATATACTTTAGCTCACAATTTGCAGATCTTTAATCTTTAAAATAGGTGTTCAGCAGACAGCGGTAAGTATGCGTGTGTATGCATACAGCAGCAAATGTTAAATTTTTTATTCTTTGTCACTAAATTAAATATTTAAACAAAACAATCTTAAAACTTCTTTTCTTTCAAGATGTGGTGTGTGCTTGGAAATTAGAGTAATCTGTTAGCGTGAAAAATGCAAGTATAAAAATTACATGTATATTTTCTAATAAAAGGCTGGGTCTTGGATTTTGGAAGAGGTTCTTTGCTTTTCTAAGCACATGTATTGCTTCTTGCATTTTTAAGACATTTTAAAATATTCTGCAAAATGTCTTTATTTGATACTAAACTTGGGGGGGGGGGGGGGGGGGTGGCATACAGTTAGACCAGGAAGAAACTGAATAATGATACACATTTGAAAAACTTCTCTGTAGTACTGGTCTGGAATTCTGACTCGCTTTTGTCTGATGCTTTCACTACTGCAGAAATGGTGATGGGGTTATTTACGTTAATTCATTTGGGTTGTTGAAAAAAATATGCCCACACTTCTCTACTTAATGGGATTCTTTCCTCGTTGCAGTGCAAACGGCTGGAGCAGGAGCTTCATCATCTGAAAGAGCAGAACCAGACTTCAGCAAACAACACGAGACATCTGACTGCTGAAAACAATCAAGAACGTGCTCTGAAGGTAAATCTCCATTTCTTCTTGCAGGCAAATTAAGGTTGTAAGCCCCTGGTGCCAGCTTTCTGGGCTGCATATATCAGTTGTGTACATTTCGGCAGAAGTGAGCTATGGTGTTTGCCAACAACCCCTTCTTTAAACACAGATACAGCACCCTTCTGCTATGGTTTTATTTTATTTTGTGTATGAAAACAATAAGGAAAAAATAACATATCCTCCCAAGTTATTGGGCCAGTAATTAATGCTAAATTCTTGCTGGTCTGTCCTTGCAATATTGCATTTTATAATGTGAAGAAAATTGCAACTATCTGCCTCACGGTACCTTTAAAACTAATATTTTAAAGCATGGCTGTTTGATCTGCTCCCAGCAGTGTGTGCTATATTAATAACATTGTTGACCGATACTACTAGTGACCGCATAGTTGATACTACTATTTGCAAAAGGGTAGCCGGTTGGAATTGGGAGGAGGAATAATAAGTCTTGTCAATAAGAATAAAAATGAGCAGAGAGGCGGGAGAGGGTCAGAGAAAGGACAGTAGAAAGTGACAAGTTATTGCTGCTTTGAGGAGGGGAAATTGTAATATCAGTGGAATGGATAGCTACGTAACCAGCAATCTTTACCGCTAGCCAGAATAAAAGACTCTGCCAGGTAAGATGTACAAGCATCATGCACACATATTCAACCACTGTATTCTTTAAAATCTCTTCCATGGGTAGTGGAGAGACTACAAATACAGAAGTTACTCTGTTGATACTGTGTCGTTGTTTTAAAACTGTGTTTGACTTAGGCAGTAAGATCCAGACCTATCTCATTTATAAGCAGATTTTCCTCTGCTTCCTTTTTCTTTCTTTTACATTCTGGAAACACTGTTACTCACCTAACAGCTTTACCAATGCAGAGTTAGGAATAAAGGTAAATCCTCGTGTAGTTTGAAATTTCTCAGTTTGAAAAAAAATAAGAAAAAAGTATAATGAGTAAATGGAGAGAGGCTGTGTGCCACACAAATGCTGTATATTCCATGGGTTTATAACTGCCATCAGAATCTACAGTGAATTCTGCCAAATCAGGTATGCAATCTGAAAGCATTCCATCCTCAGATTACTAGAAATAGAGATTGTAAAGATTCAGGGCTTTTTCTGACCACAATAACAGCATTGTTTTGAATCTGGTGCCACTAAAATTTAGTGCTTGCTGAGCATGGTGCTTATTGAACATAGTACTGTTTTTCATTAATTGTATGCTGACATTTTTTCTGTGTCATTGAAAATATTATGCGCAGAGTCCTTCTGTTAGAAAACAGAAATGTCTTATTGAAATTACACTTTTTACGTTTAATATTGCCTGACATAATGCTTACAGAATAATTATATTTTCAGAGCAAGTAGTGACTTAATAGTTCAGAGTGTTACTAGGATTTCCTTCTAAGCCTGATATTGCTCTCCCAGCACCTAATCTTTAAAGAATTTAATTTCTGGCTGTTACAGGCATTTTTTAACTTTTCAAAGTTAGAGGTTAATTGGTGGTAGTCTTTTGTAGATGAGAGTCAGGGGAAGAAAAAAGGAATTCTTTTCAATTTTTGATAAAGTTGAACTTTTTTTTATACTATTCCTCTGTAGAGTTTGTCTCAATTCATGTTACCATTGCCTACAGTGAGGACAGGTCCATTGTAGTCCTTTTAAAAGGCTGATGGGTCAGGTTGAATTCTTGACCTTGAAAAATTTAAAATTCCCCTGTGAAATATTGGCAGCAGTAGTTAGCTTTGATATACAGGGCATGAACACTCATCCTGACCTAAGCACTCATGTAAATGAAAGGCTAATCACTCCTTTTTTAGTGTAGCTACAGCCTAGAAAACATGGAGTGGCTGGTAGGGATGAAAGTCGTGTCAGCAGCTCCCTTAGAAAGGGGTTTGACTGGTGCTCTAGGCCTGGCTGCAGCTGTCTGGGTGGCACCTGCTGCCAGCAGTGGAAGAGCTCCCTGCCAGAGAAATATCCATCTGGAGCCCCCTGACAGGTAACACCATGTAGGGTCTTGGCACACACCTCCCTTGTGAAACCAGGAGCTTCCACCTCCTGCCTCTTGTATGCACTTAGTAGCTACCCTAAGCAGTACATGCAGAGTGCACATACAGACCCATGAATCCCTGAATCCCTTTCTGACTCCTCTTCACTGTGCATCATCCTCTGGTCTTCCAGCTGCTTTTAGAGAAATAGGACAGGCCATTTGCCTCTCTAATGCAGGGTTAAATACCAACACAACTGTTCTTATTTTCATCCTGAGCCAGAGAACTACATTTACTTTACCCTCCTCCCTGTGCAAACTGAGAACTGTGTTGTGTACTATAATTCAGATGTAAACACTGTCCTGCAAAAGGATTACAGGTATCCCTTCTGTATCTGTCCAGAACAGTTTCAATTAAGAAAGTTGGGGGTTTAAAATTTTTAATTTTCCTTACTTTCTTAAACTTATTTAATATTGTCTGATTTAGTTTGGCAAAATATGTATTCTGGTGATAGGTGGCAAATGAGGAATTTGATCTGCTTTAGAGTAACAGAAATGTAAACATCAGATGTAGCACAAGGATGCTTGCAGTCTTAACTGGATAAAAGAGCAGTCATCAGGATCAGCTAGATTAAGGATGGCATAAAAGTCTGTGATAAAAAATGAGGTCAATACCTCTATAGGGTCTTGAAATACTTAACAACAAAACTTATCGGGTATTTCTAAAATCATCTTACAGTAGGGAATTGCTCAGAAGGACAAAAGCATAAAACCAGTCCACCAGAAACCTATTTCCTTCCACTGATGGTGCAGAAAAACTGCAAGATTACAGCCTTATTTTAGTTATATTAGCTCACAGGGCTGCCCATAGAGTGAGACAAAGCAGCAGAGGGACAGATTGTAACTGTGGGAGTGGTGTAGTGGCAGCAAATTGGTCAGATCCAGGATATAGAAATCACAAAGATGATGTAAGCACCCTTGCATACTTTTGATTTTACACTTTTAGATGCCATGTCACACCTGAGGATCATGTGACAAATAAATGACACGTAAGACATGCTGTATAGACCTATACTGTGCCATTTCATCTTGTTGTGCAATGTAACATCTGCATGTCTGTTGTAAAATACCTCTTCTTAACTATTCTGTCATACGTAGTAGTAAGTGATTTAAAATTTCCATTTTTAATTTTTTTCCATATTTAAGGTATTTATTGCATAGGACATTCTTCATAGTGATGTGAGCCTCTCAGTCCTACAATGCCAAACTGGTACACTAAATTTTTATACTATTCTTATTGGTCATAGGGGATTGTATTAATTGAACAGAAAGGCCAATTTCAAATCTTCCCTCCAGGCAGTGCCCACAACTGCACACAGGTCATTCAGAGAAGCATGTGGGCCTCTATTTCCATAGTTAAAATAAAATAATCCTCTTCTTTGTGAAACCATTTTAAAAAAATCTCTTATAATATTTCAGATTGAATTATAGCTAAGTCTTTTAGGGATAATTGCTTCCTAAGGGCCTGTACATCTGTGCTCTTAGTACATTTTCATAAAGTAAGATCTGCAAAGTGCTCTGCAGTTCTAATGTGTCAGAGTCTATATGTAAGAGTATTCATTTGTGCTTGGCCTTCATAATTAACATTTGGTCTCTGCTGATTCTGATAAATGTATTCCCACAATACATTGAAATAGCTGATTCAATTAAACATAGAAAAGTTGAAGAATTGCTCTTTTTACATCAAGTATAAAAATATTGTCATGGTTCATTTTACTGTTGTTAGCTTCATAGTGTTTAGTTTTGAAATGCAGATTTTAATACATTTTCCTAAAGAAAAAATAAAGATTTTTGCCAGATGTGTCCTCTTTACTCAGTTGGAGAAGTATAGAAAGTGTCTTGTGAAACAAATAATGTTAAAATTCATGGAAAATTCTTAACTGGATTTGAATGAAACAAGGAGAGGTGGCTTTTTCTTCATAGGCCTGATATTTTTAATTAGGTGGCACATTCTTCATAATGCAGCTATTAATCTGCTGTAAAGACCAGAGAGACATACTAATTTTACTTCCCAGCCAAACACTTCAAATACAGAAGAGGGCTTTTTCATGGTGAGACAAAAATTCAGTGCCCTTTATTGACTAAATGAATTTACGCCATCCAAGTATGATGTCATTAGAATTTGTAAAGGTTATTAATCTTTATTTGTAAAGGTTATTAATCAAAGCTATTAAGATGTTAATCTTTGGTTGTGGTTGGCTTGTTTTGTTATGGTTTTCTGACTAATCAATCTTTTTAGTTGTGATTTTCTGTAGAATTAATCCTACCTACTTCTATGGTTTTATGAAGAAAATCATAAATTTAGAATCAGAGGCAAGAAAGTGATCTGAAGGAGCTGTAAGAAATTCATCAACAGTAGTGTTGTAAAGCAATTGTAGGTGATGTCATCTGCTTCCTGCTGACACATAACAGTTGTGTCAAGGGCAAGGAGTCTACCATGCATAGCAGTTTGTTAGCTGTTCCAGTGATCATACCTGTGAAAAAGCTACTCTAAAAGACTTAAGTATTCCCTGATGCCTGTTCTAAATTGTATTAAGCTCTGTTTTGGTTCCCAGTTTCCCAGAGTCTTAAAGTAGCAACCATTTGTTACTTGATAAAAAATGCTTTAAAATGTTGTGCTTACTTTGGAGTTGTTGGTTGGGTTTTTTTTCAGTGGAGCAGCTCAGCTCCACTGATCATACCTGTGAAAAAGCTACTCTAAAAGACTTAAGTATTCCCTGATGCCTGTTCTAAATTGTATTAAGCTCTGTTTTGGTTCCCAGTTTCCCAGAGTCTTAAAGTAGCAACCATTTGTTACTTGATAAAAAATGCTTTAAAATGTTGTGCTTACTTTGGAGTTGTTGGTTGGGTTTTTTTTCAGTGGAGCAGCTCAGCAATATTGATATGTTGGACAATCATGCCACAATGCTTTCATTTCACTCTCCAGTAGTGACCCTAAAGCAG